GCAGCCAGCTCACCGCCCTGTGACTCGGTTTCTTCTGCTCACCAGAGCTCCCGGCAGCCTCCCCCGGGCTCCCTCCTGGGGCTGGCGCGAGGGCCGGCGGTGCCGATGGCGTGAAGACGCAGTGTGGGCTCCGAGCCCTGATCAGATGTTATTTATTATTCTGAGCTGTGTTTTGGTGGGAGACTTGGAAGGGCTGAGCGTGAAGCTGGACAGCTCTAGGCTCCTTCTCCCCCAATGCGGTTTTGAGAGATCTCAGAGCAGCATGGCCGGGATGGGGCCCTGGGACAGGGAGGCCGTGGCTCTCGAAGGGGCTGGGCCAGGGCTTTCTGCATCGACCTGGAGCAGCGCGAGGAGCCCAGTGGTCCCTGCTTTGCTGACTGCCCCTCCCCCGCCCCCTCTGCTCCGTGTCCCTCCTCCTCCCCGTACCCCCGCCCCCTCTAATGCTCTCAAGCAACTCCCCAGAAATCAGCCTCCTCTCCCTGGATACTTGTCCTCACCTAATGGGGCTGTGACAATTTTCCTAAGTCCTGCTTAGAAATGTGTCACCGTCCATTTCCCTTTGTGATATCAAAGGAGGCTGCTCACACCGCGTTCGTCCAGCCAGCGTGTGCGGAGGCCTCACGCGGAGCAGCTGGAACCCGGGTTTATGAAATTACAGGGAATTCAAAGCAGCCGGCGCCGCCCGCTGTCTGGCTTCATTACTGGGCCTGGCCTCGGAGGGAAGTTTATTCCAGTAATTTAGAGGATTAGGCTCTGACACTCTTCATTAACTCTTTGACATAAGCAGGAAAGACAGATCTTGCAGAATGACCCACACAACAGGAAGGCGTTGGCTCGGGTAGGAGAAGGCAGCACACCACCCCGAGAGGCAGGGAAGGGGTCTGCAGGGTAGAAAAAAGGGCCGCTGCCTTTTCGCAGTCAAAGTGGATGGTGAGCTGCAGCCCTGCCGGGGAGAGTGGGCCTGGGAATAGGGGGGACCTGGGTTCAGGCCTCAGTTTGCCCATCTGTAAAATGGGAGCACTGCCCGGGACCTTCTGGGTCCCTTCTGGCTCTGACACGTGCTGCGCCCACCCCGCCCACCATCCTGAGACACAGCAGCTCAGATGCTGTTCCCCAAATCCTACAGGGCTTGACCTTGACAAGGTGTCCCTTCTAAGAACCTGTCTCCCCATCTCTTACCCCCTGGGGATCAAGTGACCAAGTCAAAAACACTCAGCCAGCCTGTCCCCTTTACAGGGCATTTTAGATGGGAGCCATCTCCTGCCAAACAGGAGGGAAGTCACCCCCCATCCCCAGCAGCTCCTGGCCCTGGTCCCGGCCCCTCCACAGACACAGCCCCTGGGGTTCCACACACTTCGCGTCCAGCCTGTGAACACCCGAGTCTGGCATGTACCTGGACAGCAGTTCTGACGGATGGGGTGGGTGGAACCGTTTCCAGAGGGCCTGCAAGCTGGCGTTCCCATTTCGCATATTAATGGAGCCCGTGGCTGTGTGACGCTGGCCAGTTGCTTAGTCTCTCTGTGCCTTCCTTCCTCAACTCTAAAATAAAGGTACAGTTTGTGAGGATTAAGCGAGATGCCGCGTACGGACAGCCGGCACCTGTGAGGAGCCCAGTAAATATTAGTAAATGGTATTGCTGTCGCTGCTTCCTGTGGGCGACCGTGGGCAAGTCCCTCGCTCTCTCCTTCTTTGTAAGGTCAGGGGTAAATGAGACAACTGCAAAGTGCCTGGCACCCCGAAAGAGCTCCCCGAACGCAGCCATTGGGCCAGAGCAAGGGCTGCTCGGCTGCCCAGCGCCCCAAGACACCCGTAGGTTTTCTTGGAGCCAGAAGTGTGTCAGCGGAGGAGCGGGGAATGTGATACATCCCGGCAGCCGGGGAGCCGGAGCGTATCTGGTATGTGTGTCTGGAATGATTTGGGGAAAATTCACCGAAGTTGGAACTTGAGACCAAACTGCCCGGGATAGAAAGATAGGGA